TTAGATAAGCACGAACGAATGCACTGTATTTGGAATTCGAAATCAAGCATTCAAGAAATACAAATGAATCATTAGTTCATTCAAACACCACATCCGCCACAGCATTAATCGGAGTTGAAGTGTTTGTAATCGACTGTACGTCTTCTTCCTAAGTTCATCCTGTGTCTGTCCGACATTGAATTGAATAAAAACTCTGTAATATCTAGAATCTCCTCATTAGTATTGGAATTAACAGCTGAAATAGGAATAGATTCACTTGGTTCCTGGGATTGTTAATAATCGCCGTATCGATTGTGTACCGAAACCACTATCCAGAATTGAAAGCACATATTTCCCAACACTATCCTCCCCCACGAAATAATGTTGGATCTTTATATCCCTAATTTATGAATGATGTGGCTTCATTTAAAACATATTTTTCACATTGACTAGAGTAAACATCAGAAGTGACTTCCTGATAAGGATAAACAGCAGTTGATATGAAATCATCCAAATTGTAATTTAAATCGAGCTCACTTATTACTCGTGCTTCGCACTGATCAAGTTTCCTACAAACAACAAATGCATTATGAGGACAACTAATATTTAATAGAACAACAAGACTTGATTCTTTTGAGATAGTTTCCTCAAATTTATAAAAACGCCATTGCAGAGTAAAGGATCATAAGAAAAATCAGCATCTACCATGACTGCATCAGTTGTTCGATCATGACTAGGTTCATTCACCATATTTTTCTCAGATTTGTAAGGAATTTCATCAGAAATATGTGAATCATTAGGAAAAATCATACCTGGTACAATAACATGAGAAATCTGACAAACTGATTGATTAGAAACTGTTGTCCCGCATGGATTCTGAGTTTTATTTAACTATGGACTGCCATATGACTCTACACTGTCTTTTGAAATCGTTGATAAAGATAAATCATCATTATAAATACTCAACTTTATAGAATCAGAGTTACAAGACTTAATATTAGTTGCAGCAAGATGAACAGTAGTATTACAAATTGACTGAATATGTCCAATATCACCACATTTAAAACACTCAGAATTACGAAATTTACGTGAATTAAAAGGGTGGAACCTGCCACAGGACAAGCATTGGCCAAACTTGTGCCTATTTTCGTGAAGTGAATCGCAACTCCTCAATGAATTATCTGCATAACCTTGAGTATGGATTGGGTTGGGGTGACGTAATGTGGTGGAATTTTTTATATCCTCATGAATCATTTTACGAAATCTTCCTCCTTTCCGACATTTGTATACTGAACATAGTCTAGCAGTAGTTCTTTTAGAGTTGTATAAGGAAGCGAAATGAGCTTTTCCGGTAAAGCTAGAGTTTTTAATAAGCTATATGCTTCTTTTCCGATGAATGTGAGGAAATGTGCTACAATATTTACATCCTCATCATCTTCCTTGGTCATAGCCCAGATTCTGAACCTTTCAAAGTAATCCTTGAAAGCATCAGATTCTGAATTTATGTCCAACCGTTCCATCACAGGCTCGATCGCGACGCCAATATGATAATTATAAGTATTTGAATTATAGTTTAAACTAATAATCCCAGAAATAATGCAATCGGATCAAGAGGTATTAGATAAGCACGAACGAATGCACTGTATTTGGAATTCGAAATCAAGCATTCAAGAAATACAAATGAATCATTAGTTCATTCAAACACCACACTGTCACTATGATAAGTCTTCAGTTTATCTGTTACTGTTTGAGGGATCTCCTTCTTGGGTAACATTAGGTCGTTCTTTATTCGTGATCTACACTCATCCATTAACTCTTATTGGAGTCACAATCCGGTCCCACACACTGTAGCATCCTGTATGATTGTCCAGGACTTGGGCAATCAGGTGGTTGTTTTGTATTGCTGGATGCAGGCCTGGCCTTGCGGTCAAGTTTTATAGACATTCCTATTCGCTGCCATTTATAGGGTATGAACTGAAGGAACATTTTTTTCAAAAGATTTTATTTGCAACAGACCTATTTTTAGGCTGTACTTCCTCCGTCAGCCTAAATAAGTCAGTGAACTAGATTTACTAAACCGTTTGAAAGCCGCAGGTGTGAGATGAGAAATTCGTGGTACCGTCCCTATTACTGCATGCCATTCTCCGCAGGGTGACGAAAACTGAGCGTCTGCAATCGATCTTTTTCCACTGTTTGGTCATCACTCAGTAGCTTTTAAAAATAAACTAAACACAAGCAATACCCAGAGACAGAAGAAATTGATAACCAGATAAGAGTGAAAGACTGTAAACTATCAAAGTCAATAGTACCAACAAATACAAAAAGGACCAATATACAGATGATAAAAAATAATTTATTGGATAAAGACACTCTCGGCTATTACTTTAGCGGAAATAAACTCATCTAAAGCGAAAACATTAATCACGTTGCGCAATCAACGATCAATAAAACAAATTCAACTCAGAGAGTTAAAATATCACTATTTAGATGTGGACCAGCCAATTGGTTTCAGTATTCATGACGTTTTCATATGTACGTGAGATATTAATTCGTAAACCTTCCTAAAAAAGACATGGCCATGACAAAAGTAGTAGAAATAAGAACACGCAGATGGTAAATGGGGATTTATTTTGACACTTTAATTGATTCAAAATAATGTCTGAATACTGTGATTTTCACATGATTTACCTTGAATAATAGTCAGGTTTGTGTAAAACTGACATGCTACGATGAATACCCCTCAGAACGTGGTTACATATCATGAACATTTGGAAACAGGAACCAGTAACGTACGCCGTCCTAACTGGAACCAATTATGATTTTATTGACAGTAGGATAGCACTACACCCTAATCATGTGGTCCGTTGATTATAATGTATGCTTAGTTAAAAAATTTACTACATACATGGAGAGAATCACTGAACAGCATCATGAGGTAAGTCGCAACTGGGGATTTTGGATGGAAGGGGAAAAGTGAATGACCAAGGAATACATTGAGCCGGGATTTGGAGCCAGACATCAGTAGAATGAATAGCAATTAAAAACGACAATGCTTGTTTGTAAAATATAACTTGACCAATTATGGTTGTCAATATACCTAAAAACACAATTTCGCTGTTGAGGCATAATAAATGATCGGAGTTGTCATGGGATTTTATTTTCGAAAAATAACGATAGCTAATAAAATGCAAATTAGTGCTTTTAACCATATTACTTTGTTTTCCTGTCACAAGGTACGGTCACGTTCAATGTCAGCAAAATAATGAGGCTTGGTTAAATTAAACAAAAAAATTTTCAGTAATGTCGAAATTCTTATTTCGATGACAACAGCCTTACTGAATATGAATGAGACAGTTAAGATTGTGTGAAGGATTGGCTATATAATATAAAAGATATTCAGCTTATTTTAATCGGCTGAGCAATCTGATGGTACCTGGTTAGTAATCAGTGAAGTTTGTAGTCTTGTACTGATTATGATGAGACTATAGTTTGTGGATGTTCTTGAGCTACTTCAAAGTGACCTTGAAATGGCCCATCTACTATGATGAAATGAGGTTCATAAGCCAGTGAGAGGAATTACTGTTGAAAAGTAGGGTTAGCAATTAGATTTAGTGTTTCATAACGAACTTACATCAGCTAAAATGCAAAAGCTCTATTTAACCAAGTGAATGAATGAATTTAGCGCCAAAATCTTAAACCTGTTATCATATATCTGATTAGTCCATCCATAAGTTATAATCTCGCCTTCTTGGGAACGAATTATGTTAGTATTTTACCAAACCATTTACCAAGCAGTTTAGATAAAAAAGGTCACCATCAAATTCAGCAAGAGCGATGACTAAACACGATTAATGATTTAGTATCATTAGGTCAAGCCAAATTTTTCTTACTTGTAACGTGGCTCCCGAACAGCAGCTATTCGTGATCAGTGAAAAGTGTAATCATCACTACGGATGAGCTAATGTAATGTAAACTACTGAATCTGTTATTTCATGGAGACTTACGAAGTCTATCACGGTGACTATATATACACATTCTCACCATGAAAGTAATTTCATCTGCATACTCATGGCCTTAAAGTACCTCTAGGTAACAGATTTCATCGAAACTACTTTCTACTTTCAAAACACTTCAGACAATCAACTCACAGTTTTAATCGTGATCATTTATAATCTTTAAAAACAATAAAAAATGATGGTTTCTAAGACTAATAAAGACTGGGAATTTCCTCATATCAAACATGTGTATATCCATATGGTTGACAATTGTAAACGTCCTGTGTATCTCACTCCCATACAGTGGACAGAGCCTAAATATTTCATTACGTTTTTAGGATGCATCAACTTTAAGCTTAAACAAGCACGGTTGTTTACACATGTTGAAAGTAGAAAACCTGAAGACTAGAAGACTGAGTGTAAAACTGCCAAAAACTTACTGGGATTAAAATTCAGAAAAGACTAATTGGTCGTTGTTTTTCTTTTAAATAATGTTATCATAGATCCACGAGTGAGATATAGTACTTGAGAGATATCAATCGTTACCTGATATATGTAAAAATGTATACCTGTGATAATTATTTTTAAATATTCTTAAGCTAATAATACATAAGTCACTATTATATTATTATTGAAACTCTTAATCTTTTTCAAAGCGATAGGATATTTTATGCTTTACAACTGTACACTACTCAACTATTACACAGAATTACATGCTTTTTCTCTACTGTAAAATGATTATATCATTCAACTAGTCATGCTTGTAAAATGAAGACTACTGAATTCAGAACTAGTAGCATGGGAATCTCTAGTATTATTTCGAAATGTATCAGATACGAACACTATTGGAATATTACACCAAGACAGAGATTTTCCTGCAAATCAACAACACTTTTACCGGAACTGGTCAGTACAGATTTCTGTAAAAATGTAATATATTGATAAATTTTCAATGAAAATTTGTAGAAATTTCGTTACTATACCAATTCTCAAAATAAAAAGAAAAAAAAGTTCATTGTTGATGATTTATAATTGTATTAATTGAATATATATCAAGAAATGGGAAAAGTGCTTTTAAGAACGACTGTTAATGATGATTACTGAAATAAAAAGATGTTCCCTAAAATGATGATGACAGTGAACATATGAAATAAAAAATATGATGTAAAATTTTACAAGAACATCATATTACTATTATTAATATTATTATTGTTACTATTACAAAGTTCGACAATAATGAGTTATATTATATTGTTGGTTTATGTTTATTCATCCAATGTCATAAATTATGGTCACTATTTCAGTTTTAAGAACTTAGATGGGCATCAGGAATATTCATTTTACTAATCTGTAGTTATCATTCTGATCTTTTTCTAAATTGTTCTTGTGTGATATGGTCTTGACGAAGATGACGACGTCTTACTTTCTTTCCAGGTGCATACAAACTATCAGATAATAAATTAGCATCGTTTGATTTCTTTATATCCTTTAATTGAATCTATAAGTGTATAAGATCAAAGTATAAGTTATGTGGTAAGTGTATTGAAGGAAAGAGGTTAAAATACACAAATTTCAGCCACTCAGAATCTGGTTGAAATAATCAGTGAACCTAGATTCATTGTCAGTTAAAAGATTCAACTGGGAAACTCAAAACCTGAGTCTTCTGGTTACAGCTCGAATATCCTAGACAAATTTATGTATATCACTGTACAGAAACAATCAAATGTTTCGTCTGATCGACTAAATGTGATCGGTAGAAATCCCCTGTATTGGCTCTTTGGTGGTTGACCCTGAACACATACTGTTTAATAAACCATCTCTTTCAATTTATCCAAATAAGAAAATGGATATCTTGATTGGTGAACTTGAGTCAATGATGACCAGTATAAAGCAAATTTGGTTAAAGTAAAATTTTGAAATTATTAACTTTTAAGTTGTTAGTGTAAGAAATTCACTGTTCTTTGGATGACTTGATAATGTACGAATTTTTGTAAAAATCATTTAACTATTTTTTTGTTTGTTTCACTCCATGTAGGTAATTATATTACTACAAAAAGTAAACTGAATAACAAGTTATTAAAGCTTTTACCCTGTTGTGAAATAAAACTAAATAGAAATCTGAGAAGTGACATAGGTATACTTATCTACAGTAACTAGGATGAAACCATAAGCAATCTTTTTGAGAAATTGATGTGTTTGTCTTATGAGGGATTTTGTTGTTTATTTGACGAATTGCAACAGTCTTTGATGAATGGTATTTCACCAGTTTGTCTCGGAATTGGTTCTATCCATAAAGTTGAGAAAAAACACGGATGTAAGCATATGATACTCTCAAAAACATTGCATCATTCCTAATTAAAAGGAAACATAATAACACTAGAATATCTAGTTTTCAAAAGAACGATATTGATGGCGTGATTTCTAAGCTTAATCAAGAAAAAAAATAGATAAACTGGTGCTTTAACTACACTTTCAAGTGATCTAAAGCATAAGTTTGGAAATTGTTATTTGGATCAATAATACCATCGTAACTGATTTATATTTGCCATTATTATTTACTGTGGTTGTTTATAGTAGGTGCTTCTTTTGATAAAAAGATAATGGGCGAGTTGATAACTAGATTATATTGGTTAGCGTACATGATATTATATCGCTATTTTCAACTTTTGCAATATTATATTTACTATTTTCTAGCCTCTAGGTAAGACTCATTACACTAGATATAAGTTAAACTAACTGTCTGTGAATTTTCCGAGGTCAATTTTCGAACAGGTGAATAAATGATCAGCTTATACTACATAAATATACATTACATTTATAGCGAAAAAAAAATCTGCATAATCATAGATTATCTTCAAGTGTAGATCTCAGACGCGTTTAATTTCTATCAGCTACGTCATAAAGCGGAATATGCATGGATCTGTTTCTATCCATATTGTAATAAGGTAAAGAAGACAATCCACTTGCTAACTCACTATTTAAAGCACTGCATTTAATCCTATTGATTTAATATACGAATGAATAAATGGATAATTGGTATTTACAGGTTTATTTGTTACATAACTATATAGCTATCTAATGAACAAATAGTAGCTAAATAAACATCTTGATAATAAGGTAAATTTCAATATTGAGTCATCATATATACATAATGAAGGCTTAATTATTACTTATGTTCTGTGAACATTTAGACTTTAAGTTTATTTAGATCATTGTAAATGTTTCTTTAATCTGATCCAAACTTGTTTAGAAGATGAAAATAAATTTCTATAAAAGATTTCTTGTGTCATATATATATATATATATATATATATATATATATATATATATATATATATATATATATATATATATATATATATATATATATATATATATATATATATATATATATATATATATATATATTAGACTTTATTCATAAGTAAATACATTATCATTTAGTACTACTCATTGCCCACTGATTTGTCATTTATTTTGTTCATTTAATCCAAATATCATTAGTTATCTACATATTTTCAATCGTTTTATGTGCATATATCAGTAGATTTATGAAGAAACGTACTAAAATATCATTTTCCACTCTCATTTGTAGAGCATAAGTACACGTGAACACGAAATGGAATTTGTTTTCGAGTATATCTAAACTAGTGACAAACTCATGCATAATTGAATGGAAACTTATTCATTCCCTTTTGTTTGTTTCTTTTTTTGTCAATAAGGCTTCTGAGGTTAATAGTTCTCGGTATAAAATCAAAACTTTGACCACAGTTACATAATTCCATATTATAAATAATCGAAGTGTTTTTAAACTTTTTTATTTGGATCTAATTATTCGTTCGACGAAGTATTTATTGTCTGTACTCATTAACTTTAGAAACTAGTGGTTCATTGTTTTCTTTTTTTTTGTAGTTAACCTTACACTCATCATATTTAATGTAGAGAATGATTATTTCGTGTCATTTTTTAAATATTATTCATCTTAGGGCTTTTCTTTAATAATATGATGGTTTGATAAAGTAAACTGAATAAGTATGTAGTCTTTGAAAGCTGAAAATTAATTTTAAACTCATGGTAAGTTGGAATAATGCTTACCTCACTAACAAACAACTACTCATAGAATTGGTCGATGGTGGGATTTTTCAAAGCACAGCTGCCATATATTTGAATGGTCAAAGGCAACTGTTACGAAGTTTCCATGTTAACTGGTCATCATTAACAAGGGATACATAAAATTCTTCAGCGATTGATACTCTCAGGTAATTTAAAATCTCATATCATGTAGTTTCACACTCACAGACGACGTCACTAATCTATTTAATTAAGAAAAGACTTCCTAAATAACTAACTTAATGATAATTGACCGATCGATTAGCCTATCAATTATTGATAGCAAATGAACTTAGTGTTTATCAAATCTTACTAAACAACGATCGTTAGGTTAAGTGCCCGATTAATGTTTTCATATCACTGGTTATTTACTGTTCGGGTAGTTCATTAAGAATACTTCTGGTTAGTGAACCAAGTTTGAATTTCGGAGATTAAATTATTACATTTAAGGTTTTTAGTATTTCTATTAATGCTTACTATCCAACATGAAATCTGAGCATTAAGATTCGCACCAACTGCATCCATCTTTTTAACACTGAAACTACAATGGGGAAAAATTTGGTAAGTGAGCTGATTTTATTTGTTAAAATGCTATAAACCATTTACTCTCTTATGGAATTACTGCCTAACTAACATTTATTTCATACTCCATCTTACCAAAAGGTTAATTCAGTGTATAACCACTCAGCTTAGTAACTAAATAGCCCATTTGTCCGATAGAATCAGATTAAGATTGGGAACTACGAATAATGATCTTAACTACCCGTGTATTTTAAATAGTTATTAATACTTCTGAAAAAAATTGACTTACTCCAACTTTCTCTGCTTGTTGTGTAAAGGCAGACATACACTCAATCAAACAAGTGTAACATTCGTTCTATGAGTAAAAAAATAAAATTAAAAAATAATTAGTGCATAAAGGCAATACTACTCATAATTTATTAATTTAGGGAAATTCATGTTATTGTAACTGTGTGTGTCAGTGAAATATTTAGGACTATTTTGAGTACATGATTAAGCTTCATTAATACAGATTATGATGAAGAAGATTTACAAAAATCAATCAGAAGTACATACCCTTAACAAAGTCATGATGACCTCCTGTCCTTCACATATCTGCCAGATGAAAATTGTAAATGTTAGCGGAAAATCTAAGCGACTTACATTAAAATCAAACTTTTATTTATGTTTATGTTGAAAACTTCATGTATCGTGATCTAGTAATCTAATTCAGATCTATAAGGCAATATTCAAAAAGATTCTCATTCTTTGAACAAAGTCGTTGTATTTCATTTAGAATATTTAGCTCAAGGTGAAAGTATTGAAAATAGTAGACACTTTTATTCAGTGATTACTTAATTTCAGATTGTGTGAGATATACAGATAAGACTTACAAAATAATTTTTTTTAGAATAAATAAAACATTTCCAGTAAAAAATGGAAATTTTTGATGATTGATGTCAAATAAGAAGAGAAATTACCTTTGTTTTGCAAAATGTATTGTAATTAAGATGCTTGAGAGTGTATTCCAGCCATTTTCACTAAGGTCATCAGGTAATGTAAGGAGTACAGATAAGCAGCTAAAGCACTAATGTCTGTCAAGGAAAGTGTAGGATAACTACTTACTGCGATAAAGAATGATGATGTAAGAAGAATTAATGGTGCACGAAAGATGTGATTCAGAAGTGAGAAACTTTTCTTGCATTTAGTTTATTTTTACTATGAGTATAAGAATGAAGCAAATAACATACACATATGGGGAAAGCTCCAAAAAATGTTCTAGTTCTCAGTTAGTTATTCACCTGGATACATGTATTCAAAATATGTGTGAATTATCTTCCAAGTGTTACTTATCCTAAAATCATTTTCATGATTGACGTGTACAGAGGATACCGTTGAACATAGATAGATAGGACACGATTTTAAAACACTAGCTTCAGTGTCAATGAACAGGCTAAACCTTAACTTAAGTCGTTTCGTCATTTTATTAGCAAAAAACACTTATTTTTTGATATTAAGAAACCAGTCAACAGATTTAATGATCAATACCTAAGGAAAAACGATTCATTTCATTTATAAAAAAAACTGAAAGTTCCAAATGTGAAAAACGTCAAGACAACAAACAGAATACTAAAACAATATTTTATTTTTGTAAACAAAATCTATAGCTTATTCGCGATATAATTTATGAAAGTCTTACCATCCGGTTTTCCACACATAAATATGATTCTGTTTGTGAAAGTAAAATATCAAAGTATTCTAGAAATGTCATTGAATGACATTGGAAGTGATACTTAGCCACAAGAGGAGGGATTCGAATACCTCACTTCTATTTGTAGTTTGTATTGATGTTACTCAAAAGAATAATGAAAACTTCACGAATAAATCATCTGGCTCAGAGGATGAAACTCTATGAACATCATCCACCTAATCTAAAAGTCTTCTCCACCATCTCCGTTTAATAAGTATTGATCTGAACACTGAAGTCGTTTATGAAAATACTCACTTTATTCATGTGAACAAGTGATGGAACCATGTCTGTCTTCTGCTGGTAAGATACTTTAAAACTATTCATTCAATGCAAAGTTTATGATCATAAATATTTCCAACCATAAAATGAAATCGCAAAATATTTTTTGATGTAGAATACTGGAATAAAATTAAAGGAATAATGAAAGTGATTCACTCTAAAACTGGTACACACGATGTACATTGTTTTACACGTCAGCAAATATAACATAAAACATTCACATTCTACATATAACTACAAATTTACATGTACGTTGGAAGAAGAAGAAGAAGAAGAAGAAATGACTACATTTTATTAGTTACATTTTTAATCCATTTCCCTGAGAAAACATTAGATATCTTTCCTATCATGCTAAGGTAATAAAAGTAAGGTGGTTTCATTTTTTTTCCTTTCAAAATTGTTTTCGGCTTCTTTGTTCACAATTTTTTTTATGTTCAAGTGATATGTTGTGTAATTTTTCCCAGTGTAATTGACTGAATAATAATGGCACATTTATAAGCATAAGCATTAAAATTGGAAATATATACATCACTAGTGATTGGTTAACATTGAAGTTGTAGAAAGATTCTATAAAATGACATTAGTTATATTACCCAATATAATCAATATATTGATTTCAAATATCAAAAATATTACTTACTTCATTAGCCAAATAAACAAACAGACTATGATTACATTTAGTTGAACAGTCACGACGACATTCAATGAAAACTTTCAATTTCACTAAAGAAAACAATGAGAAAAGGTGATGATTAGGCTCAATATGAGTATTAGGAGTACTCAGATATAAATTTAAGGAAACTAGTGCTTATGCTTAAAAAGTTTTATTGACAAATATTTATGATTCGGAAGTTAAAAATAATTACTGGTAAGATTTAGCATAAGGGTATAGTGTTTTTACAACCGGTTCTCCTGATTGAAACAGATGAATGAGATGGTAATTTGTTTGTACAGTAGCAATTATCCAATGGTTTTAGAGTCAGCTATTTTGATGTTATTTGAAATTTTCGTTAATCTATATTTTATAAATATATTACCCCAAGACATTTAGATTCTTGTTTATTTCTACATCAAGAAAATTTTCCATCGGTGATAATATATAGGCAATGGACTTGACTTTATGAGGTGTTTTATTCACAACTTATTGAGAAGTTACATTACTTCTTTTGTCCAAGATATGTTGCATTGGTCCGAAACTTTGTGAGCTTTAAGAGTAGGTAACTTTTCAATAGTTCTTTCGATATTGAACTTTAAAAGGCCTGTCAAATATTTTAAAGTTTATACCTGTGTGACCTACACTTTTTTATATTCGTGGTAAGATTCGTTGTTTGGGAAATTCAAATGGAGGCCAATATAAGTTTTATGATATTTCAAAATGTCGGAATTATTTGTAATATCACACAATCTGCATCTTGACTTTATTCAAAGTAAGGAAATCAGATTTCAATCCTGACAAATTCAAATAATAACATTCAAAATTAACATTGGTATTTTATTTTGAAACTTTCTCTACATGTTATCTTCCAAAGTGTTTATAATTTTGCAATGTTTGGTGTAAAACTGTTAGAAATCAATCATTTGAAATAAAAGTACCATATTTAAAATAAATAGGAGAGTTTCGTCCGATAATTTTAGTCTGTTTTGTGCAACTAAAGCAAGTGACATGTCCATTTTCATTCATAAGTGAAATCCCTCTTTTACTTACAGTTTAGCAGTTGGAGCACTATCTTAATCAATATACCGAGATGTTTGCATGACGATATCTGAACGAACATAGCTGCTAAATTAATTATCTTAATCACCGAATGAGTGAGTACATATGATTGGTGCTATACATATAACCCAAAATTCTGCATTCTCATATAGGATAATGAGATAGTGAAGACGATTTGTAGCTGAGATGGTGGATTTTGGTAGAGTTTTGTTCTCTGAGCTGGTTGTTTTGGTCGTGGCGCTTTCTTCATTTTTCTGAATGACATAATCAGCACAAACTTTTTGCTGATGATAGCTCATTACATTCTTATGGACTGCTATCATATTACAAAATAGCTGAGAAATTGCATTCTATAAATTGAAAGTCTACAGAACTATGTTTTATTTTCATACCTTTTTATTTGGATAATGGAGGAATACCCAGTGTTACATCAGTACACTGTCTGAGTTAGATTGTTATTTTTTTTGTAACAAATTTCAGGCGTAAGTAAGTAAAGTAAGTATGTATATTAGATAAGGTAATTCTAAATCATTTATTTCTTTGCAGCACAATCTGTTACTAGTTACCTCAGTTTAATTGTACGAATGACTATAACTGCCGAACATCATTAACCGAAATTTGTGCTAATTAATATTTATCCACTAGTTTTTTTTCCAATGTAGCAAAATTTGAAATCGACAACACATAAAAAATGATGTAACTACTGACAAGCAAAATTCTACATTTGATTATTAAAATAGTAAATACTGAATGATAGACAATTTGCAGTACACTAATATACATTGAATGTTTTATTTCACTCGTAATTGTTCCGTTTTTCGGCACTGGTTAGAATTTTCCAAGAATTACCGATTGTTAAATGTTACAATTTTATTTGCTGTTTACTATCATTTTAATAGAATAGGAAGAATTTATTATTATTATTACTGGAATTTCATTAAAGTTTTATGTTAATTACGGAAAAAGTTCGATTTATATAAATCGAAAAAGGACAGAAAAGTTGTGAAAAACCAGGTCTTTGTTGGAAAACATTACATAGAATAACTTCTTGACGTCCGATTTTATATAAACATCTTAATAAGCAGTTATCTTATGGATTAACGTTTCGTGATGTTCAATGCTCAGTGCATTATCCAACAGCATTACATTGTCATTAGAGCAAACTGACTACTTTTCAGTATTCACTATAAGAAACTTATTTGGTGCCATTCAATAATACAAAGAACACGAAAACGTTGAAACATACATGTTCAAACTATAATTTAGAATGTTAACCTAATAACTGGCCTGTCTAAATAAGAACCATTTACATTACACTTCTCTGTATAACATACAGATAAAAATTATTATAGTGATTAACCTACTCTCTTAAGTATATATTGGAAAATGTATACAGCATCAGCGAAATACGTTTTTTAACTCATTTGGTTGAAACTTAATATATTTAAATGAATATGTACAAGATTCGATTATGGAAGTAGTTCTAGACAACCATAAAGTAAAGAAATCCCCTCTAGGCTCGATTTGAAGAACACATCTAGGTCCTTCCTACCGGGAAATGGAATGTCAAGCACATATTGATCTGATGTTATATCACTAACTAAATCTGCTTCACTCACTCAATAATGTATTGGTTAAGACTTGACATTGCAAAATCATTCACGGTTTAGTTGTAGTATATAGCCTGAAAGTTTCAAGTTTGAGTTTAGTAGGGAATCTGCTTTTTCTCAGCTTAATTTGTCATAATATATTAATCATAATGATCATTACACGTGTCTGATTCAAAGACTCTTATTTATAAGTCATTGGAATTTGATGTCCACTGCAAAATGTTGTCATCTATAGGATTATCAGCTATTAGTGAAAAAGCCTTCATATTCAACTACGAATTTCACGGTCTCTGTCATCAACATTTAAAAAAATTATTCACTAACGAGATACCAATGTATAAATTAGATGGATTTCTAAGCTGTTGTGCATCAGAAATGTCAACCACTCGATTCTCAACAGCTTAGTTTGAATTAATAATTAACATCGGAAGGTTATAGCATTCACAAGAAGATTCTTAGTTCATCTCACAACTAACAACTGGCCTGAGCAATAAATGATTATGAATATACAAGGTTTCTAATCATTCCCAACTTAATTTCGACCTGTGTTGAAAACTTAATTGAAACTTAGCAATCTTCATCTTGTAGGGAATGAAACATTGAATCAAATATTTGCGAAGTTGCATCTGAGTGACTGTTTGATGTTAATTCAAGTACTATTAGATGGCCAATCTAAGCTACTACAAAATGTTTAATAATCCTTGTTGTAGGTAGAAAAAGTGGAAATGTAACATTATATCGTTTAATTCAATCTAAATCAATTTCAACTGTTTATATTATGATAAAAATATGAAAAGTCATTTATTGGTTTCAGATACATATTACATGCAGTCCTGAACATCAATGAGAAGATACAAATAGGATGGAACGCGCGTCTTGGATTCCACTGCTAGCCACCATCCATCTTTGCTTATAATGTTTGTGAATTAAGGCAATATCGAAGCAATACGCACAGTATGCACATATGCCAACAAGAGAGTGATCATTTTCAGTCCTGAACAACAATGAGAAGATTCAAGCAAACAATACCATGTCAGTTACATATTGTTTAATTTTAGAATTATTGGATTAAAAGTAAGACAAAAAAGAGTATCAATTTTATATATACAATCTAATTGGGCATATTTTCTCTCATAAATAACTTTCATTATAAATGAATTATTACCTCACTTCATGAATTCATTTGCCAACTTCTGACTAAAAAAATAATTTTCCTTAGTGACTCTTGAGAAAAGAAAACTCGATTTTATCAAGTAATACTTGTATAACTATAAATAATTATGTTATTATTGCAAATATTCTCTATAGACTTATAGTAACCAAAATGAACGTTAAATGTTAGGCTTTCCATCGATTCCGTTTTACTATTCAACATAATAAGACGTGTACGAATATCAAACATATGTAAATAGATATCCCATTACACTAAAAAAATTTCAAACCTGTTTTGTGTAGAGACTGGTTACAGTAGATACGAACTTTTATTAATGTAAGTTAAATACAATTACTTGTTATTCATAGCTTTTCTCTTTACTGAATTCTTTACTATATCTAATCGAGTACAAAACCAAGTGAAATTGAATAACATCACTGTTACAGTGATAGTATGACAATGAATAAATATAACACATAATCTACCAAACTGTTAATTGTTATTGCTACTCGGGTTTTTTTAAACTAACATATGGGAAATTTACACATCACTGAAATAAAAACAAGAAAATTCTTAACAAATAAAAAAATGAATTTTTAAACCGCGAACCTTGAAAAGAATAAAACTCTGTCGATAGTCTGTAATTTTGTCGTCATGTAAAGATGTTACAATGTAATATTACTATTACGATAACCTTATGTTAAAATACGATCAATCACCTTGTTATCATTAACAAACGTTATATTAATTGTTCTGATTAGAATTGATTTCTTGAATTGGTATAAACAGAGTGATTAGTGAACTGACTTTAATGCTCTCAATGAATGAATATCGAAAGATGGAATAATTCAACTTTAAAATGGATATTCTAAGGTAACAAAATGATGACGTCGAGGTTGGTAGAGCTAAAATATATAATGATCAGAATAAACATCACAAATGACATTAAACTGTCTTAGTTCATGATTAATATTTGCAATGAACTAGAGAAAGTGAAAAGCAGCTTATTGTTGAGTTAGAACAAAAAAAACGACAAAAGTGAATATCTAAAATCTTTTAACTAACTGATCCTAGTTAAATTATACAACACATAAGTTTTAAGCTTATTACTGAAATAAGTTGAAAGCTTTCTATGATAAATATTTTCTTATGAAACATTGAATATTCTCAATAAATCAAATCACTGATAGCAACAGATTATAAATAAAAACAATAACAGTTATTGCATTACATTTCATAATTGCAA